AATAATCTGTTATCATGCACACGACATGTGAAATACTTCCATAAAGATTATTATTAAAATTAAATAAATTAATGATTTAAAATTATTAGTATTATTATTATATTAATAATCTACTTTGAATTGACCCTTACATAGTTTATTTTTTAATTTATTTATTCATGAACATACTCTAAAGCCAATCAACATGAAACAGGCTTAAAGGGATAGTTGTTTAATAATAATAATTATAACTTTTAAATTCAGTATCCTGTTATCATGTGTGGCCAATTTAATTCCATCCTCATGATTTGAATAGATCCGTTTTCTAAAATCTCTGTTTTGTCCAGCCCAACAAGGATGTTGAATCGCTTTTGTGCCTCACTAGTTCACCAAAAACATAATCAGCACGAGTTAATCAGTGTTGAACGGCTAAAATGTGTGAAAAACAAATGCAAACAGCTTTCTACAGCAAACATTCACTCATATGCAAGTGTCGGTGTGTTTTATTGTTCCTTTGACTGAAAGAACGACAACTTTTGTAAACCTTTATTTTTAATGAAAAAAATTAAGAGACTGCATTCCATCTGATTTTCACTCTTAGATAAAATGATGATCAACCCTCGGGTTCTTGACTCAATTTTAAAGAATCCTTTCAGCCCATTTTCATCCCAAGGCGTCATATACTGACGCTTTTGCCAATGCATATACATTCAACGCACATGACATCCTTTAGCGTCAAAATGAGACTCAGATATATATGGGGCAGAAGGCGCCTCCTAGTGGTCTAACCCTAACCCTACCCCAGACCTAAACCTACCCATAACCAAAGCGTGTTAAATTGACGCTAAAGGGTGCCATGTGCGTTGGATGTAGACGCATTAGCAAAAGCGTCAGTATATGACGCCTTGGGATGAGAATGTGTCGATGCGTTGATGCGTCAAAAATTTCTATTCAAGGATAAATGATTTAATGATTCTTAAATGATTGCATAATGTTTTCATGTTTATTGGGTCATTATTATTATTTATTTATTTTGCTAATTGAAATGAAATTAAAAAAATAAATAAATAAAAACATTTAAAAAAAGACATTTATCAGACACTTTTAGCCAAAGTGACTTACATTGCATTTCAAGGTACACATCTTCACATTTTTATCAGTTTTTGCTTTCCCTGGGAATCGAACCCATGACCGTATCATTGGAAGCACCAATGCTCCACACTTTGACCTACAGGAAATCTACATTTAAACTAAATTATTTAAAACTAAATGATGAGAACCCCTAAACGCTACTGTATTTGAAGGACCTGGCAGTTAAGTTTCTATTTAGAACATTTTCCTGTAAGAGTGCAGGGATTTTTGTTCACCTAGCACCTGTTTAAATGTGTGTAGAGTTCCCTGTTTCAATGACTTCCCTGTTATCCCTGATCAGTGTTTGCCTGACCCTGGCGTGAGTCTTGACAGGCGTGGGGCGTAGGGTTGCTGGGCTAATGCTGCCACAGTGGAAGGGGGGTGTGGGGAGGCCCATCTGGGACTGAAGGCCTGGAGCTAACGCCAGGGGTTGTAGGAGAACACTGTCAGCTTAGAGGACAAACCGCTAAAGCAGAGGTCACACACACACTAACTCACTCAGGGAATTCACTAAGCATGGTATGTGGCACTGATAGTGATGTTTACTTGCACATGTTGTTTGCATCATTTTAGTGCCACATTCACTACCAGAAACTCGTCACAACTTCAAAAAAAATCGTGATGCTAATGTTTTATAATATCTCATTGTGTTTTAGTATGTTATATACAGTTGTGGTCAGAATTATTGCCACCCTTGGAATATGGTCATTGAATCTGCATAGTTTATCCTTCTGATCTTTCATTAAAAAAGATTGCAAAAAGTCTAACCTTTCACTGAAGTAAAATAATTGAAAGTGGGGGTGGAAATTACATTATAAAATAAATGTTTTTTTTTTTCTCTGGCCATAATTATTGGCACCCTTTTATGAAATACTTTTTGCCAAGATAACAGCTCTGAGTCTTCTGAGTCTTGGAGAACACCTGACCAGAGATCGGAGATCATTCCTCCATACAGAATCTCTCCAGATCCTGTAGATTCCCAGATCCATGTTTGTGGTGATTCTTCTCTTCAGTTCAGCCCACTCATCAGGTCAGGGTCTGGGACGGTCATGGCAGAAGCTACCATGTGCTAGTGCTCAGTGACACATGTTTGTGTTGATTTTGCTGTTTGTTTTGGACCGTTGTCCTGATGGAAGATCCAACCATGGCCCATTATAAGATTTCTATCAGAAGGCGTCAGGTTTTGATCTTTAATCTGTTGATATTTGATAGAATCACAATGCCATGTATCTGAATAAGAAGTCCAGGACCTCCTGCAGAAAAATAGATATTTTTGCTGGAGTTTGTTTTTGGATGAGCAAGGAGAACTTTTCTTGGAGCCCTCCCACAACATGTGGTGATGTAGGGGTTGATTTTATTTATTTATTTATATATTTTTTGAGACCCCAAGAATCAACTAATCTGCAATTCTCCATCTGTGATCCTTGAAGAGTCTTTGGCCACTCAAACTTTCCCCCTCACCTTGCATTAATATATAGACACACGTCCTCTTCCTGGCAGATTCATAACATCTTTAGTTGATTGGCACTTCTCAAATAATGCCCTGATGGTCGAAATGGGGATTATCAATTCTTTAAAGTTCAACAATCTCTTGCTGCACATCAGAACTATCTTTGGTTTTACTCATTGTGATGGATGAATAAGGAAATTTGGCCTTGTCTTTCCTCATATTTATACTCCTGTGAAACAAAAATTCATAGCTGGACAATTTCATATTTTTCTAGTCCCCCTGGTGAGCTAAAAAGGTAAATATTAATGGGAATATGCTTCAGAGATGTTTTACTTGTGAAAAATCTAGGGGTGCCAATAATTGTGGCTAACGTGTTTTGGAGAAAAACATTTATTTCATAATGTGATTTCCTCCCCACTTTCAAATATTTTACTTCAATGAAAGATTTTTCGAATGAAAGATCAAAATAATAAACTATGCAGATTTATTTGTACAGCCATCTTTGATCATTTTTACCAGGGTATTCTTGCCAAATATAGCTACACGGTAACACTTTATTTTGATGGTCTCTTTTGAACATTCTACTGACTATAAGTAACTTTGCAACATGTCAACTTATGCTAACCTTAACTCTACCCTCTAACACTCCAATGAGAGTTAGTAGACATGTAGGTGCGATGTTACTTATAGTCAACAGAATGTGTTAAAGGGACCATCAAAATAAAGTGAAACCGGGTATATACTGTACATATCAGTAGGGGAGGTAGTTTATTCAGTCTATGGCCAAACACCATGTAACGTTGGTAAGACAGACTACCACAGCAAATCTATGTGATTTTTAACCTATTTTTTTTTCTTTTCTTTTTTTTTTGGTGAAAGTGATAAAAGAGTGGAAAAATATTTTGGGTAACTGAAATAAAGGCAAATCAAATGTATTTATGTAGTGCGCTTCACAATACGCATGGTTTCAAAGCTGTTGCACAGAATATCATGATGCTAATGTTTTGCAATATCCTAATGTCTTAGTTAATAGTCGCATTTATCAAATTGGCACTGGACGAGAACATTTAATTGCAAAGATACATGCAATCAAGTATTCAGATTTGCTATAGTATATACTGTATGTATGCAGGTGAACTTGGATGTGCTTATATCATATGTATAACTTTATATAAAGAGCTGATATATAAATCAGGCAGTTGAGATTTTCTATGTAATATTACTGTATGTGGCTCGTTGATTAGTTGTCACGTCATTGTCAAGTTCTGTGTCCAGGAGTCTTTTCTGGAGTCATTGTGGAACTAAAAAAGTCCAGTTTCCCAGACATAGCCAAAAAGTGGATTGAACATGCCGAATTGGCTGTAGGTGTGAATCCAAAACCATGTAATGAGGATGTTTGGGGAAAGATCTGACAACCTACCCTGGAAAAACCATAGAATCACCACAAGTCAGATACAACTGAAATGGTATAGAGTTGAAATGGTACACCTGTATGAACATATGTAGGCAATATCGAAATATTTTAAAAATTAAACAAAATAACTAAAATTCAAAAAATGAGAATATAACAATAAAAGCTTTTGGTGATTCCATGGGCCACCTTTCGCCATACACAAATGACTCTCCACAAATTTCCTTGGCGTTAATTTTTTCCAGGGTAGGTTGCCAGGTCTTTCCCCAAAACTCCCCATTATATGGATCGGGACTCACACAAACACTCATTCTTCTCACTTATCAATTTATCATCTCTCTATGTTTTTGGAGTGTGGGGAAAACCAGATCACCCGGAGCAGACACAAGTTGAACATGCAAACTCCACAGATAGGCCCGGACTCGAACCAGGGACCTTCTCGATATGATAGTCCACTAATACTTACAAATAACTTAAGATTGTGTGACAACAGTCCATCAGTACCCATTCAACACCATATTGT